TTAGAAATAAAAAAAGAGTGAATTTAATGAAACTGTGTTGGTCTCTCACCTATTATACGTCGCGATTTTCAGTGAATTATAATATGGAAAAAATCGATGGCTAAGAAAACCGTCCCGGATTTTGCTGGGAAAAATATGGTCACCTAAGTTCAAACGAATATGTGGCACTCTATTACCAGGCGTACCGGTATGAAGTGAGCGTTAAGATACAAATGTGTTGGTAGGGAACATTTGTAGTGAACGAGCCTTAATTTTTTTTCTGTTTGGTTGGCATGACATCTGATAAACATATTCAATAACCCTACAGTCATTGAATTAACAACATCATATATTTCATTATGTCGGAAATGTTATATTTTGTACCGGAAAGTGATGATTTTCGGAAAGCCACATGAATTGAATGTAAGACAAATGGAAAACCGAAAAAAAAAAATTTTATTTTGTTTCAAAGACACGAAAAAAATCAGTTTTGCATAGAAAAGTCACTGGCGATGAAAAATTTATTTATTTTAAGAATCCTTAACAGAGAAAATCATGGGTTAATCCAAGACAACCATCAACATCGACAGCAAATGCAATGGTCAATACTTTGAGTATATATTTTTTTCTTTCCTATTTAAAATTGGTATTTCATTTTCACAAAAAAACGCTTATCTTATACCGGTGCACCGTAACAATAATTTTATTTTAATTTTTTGTAATCTCTCTAGTGAAAAACAAGTAAGGAATGGCAAAGGTCAGGTGTAACTGACCGTGATTTCATTCAATGAGGGCAAGAGGATACACTAAGACTTCTTACGTATTGACTGATAGATGCGGTATACAGTTAACCGGAAGTTCCAAAATATTTATGTTAGGTATATGGGGGCTAAGGGAAATTTTGACTTGCTCTTACCCATTTTAATGCGACGTAAGATGAAATAATTTATTCACACAGTTATCGGACTTTTAGTTGTTTTAAATATAACCCTTATATAGGGAGTGGGCGTGGTTATTATATGATTTTCTCAGAATTTTTAAAGATGCTAATATTACTTCTTGTCACCAAGTTTGTTTGATATAGCTTAAGTGGTTTGGAAGATATGTACATTAAGCCATTTAAGGGGCGAGGCCATGCCCACTTTAAAACACGTTTTATCCCTCAGTTGCCATTGCCACTGCAAACTTATGTATTAAATTATCGTTTTGTATCTTAATTCAGTGTTTAGTTATGGCACTTTATAGGTTTCCGTTTAATGGCGTTATGTGGTCGTGGCTCCAGCCAACTGCAATACCAACCTCTCTTATGTGTACCAAGTTTCGTCACAATATCTCAGTTTTGATTTCAACTCATCTCATCATTATGATCATGTATATATATACCATATACCCTTATTACTAACTCAATTATTTTAAGGTGAATCAAGCAAGCGTTCGGTGATCAAAACTATTATACAATGTGGTATCGTATTGCAAGAGTATAAAAATCCATTACTTTCCGTTAGAAAAGTAAAATTTATATGATTTCGTACCAAAAAAATACAGTTTTGTGTTCGCTTGGTAGAGTGTGGTTTGAGCAAGCGTTAAAAATGTCAAAGATGGACACCAACAAAGAGAATGCGGCTGAAAATGTGAATAATAAAAGACCATGTGGAAGCATTTAAACAAAAAGATGCTGGATGGTACCTATACCCACACGTAAAAACCTATACCCACACGCGAAACGAATCAGCGAATCGCTACTGAATCGCAACAAAATCGATCCAATTCTGAAGCCACTTAGTGGTGTTGAAAAGTAGATCACTTACAACAACGGAAAGGGAACATAATAGCGGTCGAATTGCGATGAGGAGGCGAAAACGGTGTTCAGGCCCGGATGATGGTCAGAAAGGTTTTGCTATGTGTTTATTGGAACTGGCATGAAATCATGCCACATGCTGCTCACCTACGATCAAACACCTAATCCAAATATATACTGTCAGCAATTGGACCTGAAGCAAGCAATCCCTCAGAATTCAGCATTGCGAAGGGTATAAGGACATCCCACTATTTTTAGTATTGCCACATTTCAGGAATACTTTGTGGGCTCTATTTGGTTTTCATTGGTCATTGAAATATTTTTTACTATGAATATGGAATGAATATGGTGAAAATCAACTAAGAAGAAGCTGGCTACAGCCCGATGTTAACAACAATTAAAGGCTGCCAAGTAAACATATTGGTAATACAATAAACAAAAAAACACAGGATTAGTTGAGGTATTTCTGAAATAAACATTTTCATCGACATTTCATGTGAAGAAATTATCGTAAATTGAGTTTGAAGATATGTGGAATTCCAACAGGTAAAAATGAGAACTGAAAGCACTCCAAATACGCCAGAGTACAGTACCTTGAAGGTTGGTAACCTTAAAGGTCAGATGTATCCGTATATTATAAGCGACTTTTCATCTCCATAATATTATTTACAACAATTACTACGCAAAGCACTCGGAAATAATATTGGTTGACGTTCTCTAATGAATTAACCAAAAATTCCCTTTGGTTGGTGGTAACTTTTAAGATACTCCCATTAATTTAATAACTCTATGCTCTTCCGCATTCTCATCGCTGTTAATCTTTCGACAGGGCATACCAAGGGTTCAATTATTTTTCCATGCTGGACAAATATTGGCCTTTCGGTGAACTATATTGCAAAATATCACCATTTATAACAACACTGAGCATAAGCGCTTCGGTGGTTCCACTAATGGCGATAACCGTCGACAGGTGATTGAATAAACCAAAGCAAAAGCAGAAGGAGCAAAGTGTGACGCAAATAAAAATAAATGTTGCTCCCCTCATTTAAAAACAGACATTCACGGTGAACGCACAATGTGCTAACATTTTGCCACTAAAAGCCTCCACTTTACACAGTTACTACTCCTTCTTTCATGTTCTCTAACACTCACCTCCTTTCGTATAAATATGTTGACATTAAAAAGCCACTAGCACCGCGTATAAGTTAGCGGTGCAATATAGGCATTGTCTTGTTCGTTTGGATAGCCCCAATTCAATTTCATGCTCCATATTGTCTTTTTTACAATCGGCGAAGTCGAACTGAAATTGGTGCCCGAATTGTTTGCTACCCCAGCGGCCTGATGGTCGTACTATTCATTCGCAATAGGAATATGCGTTGTAAAGGAAGTCGTATACAGAGATATTGGCGTAAATGTTGGAACACGTGTTCTTGGTATTTAATTTAGTACTAAAATATAAGCGAATTTCATACCTTTTCTCACTTTTTTTGAATACTTACAGTTTTAGCTCCGCACTTAAGAAAGACGTATTTACATATAAGGATGGTCTGATAACTACTTGGTGAATGCGTCATTATCGCAAAATAAATTTACTATCGTGTACATACTAGGAATCAGACTGGTAGTTTTGTTTTGACCGAGTGTTAAAGTGAGTGTGTCTTCAGATTTTAGGAAAAAGGAATATCGGTCCGTGTTCTAATTCTGGTTTTTGTTAGATAAATCGCGCAGTGAAACCAATGAACATGAATAACTGATTAAAGTAACTCTTCTCCTTAAATGGAAACACAGATCCGAAGATACACACTAGAAAATAAGGAAATTTCGAAACTGTGGACTACACCCGGCGAACCTTCTGCTTAGTCTACAAACTGCTGCACCAACCGCCGTATTCTTCAAATTTGGCTTCAAACGACTTTTTTTTCTAACCTTAAGAAGTCACTCGCCGAGCAGACATTTAAGTCGCTGCGAAAGTTATTGTCGTCTCAGGGGCTTACTTTGAAGAGCTTCTGAAACTTAGTTTTTCATATGGATTAAAGAATTTGGCTGGGACAAGACTATTGAGTTAAATAAAGACTATCTTTGAAAATAAATCGCCTTTTTTTCAATAATTTCATTTTCATTTGAAGGCTGAGTAATTTAGGTGTTTTACACGAATTAAAATAAAATAAATAAATCTTAAATAATTTAATTGTATACAAAATTAAAGCAGTGCAAATACAGACTAGGAAAGCCGTTACCAATGCTTGTGGCGATATGTTAGCCAAGCGAATATGCATCATTAGAAAGATAATTACAATTCTACGGTGCTATTCCTAAGGTGATGGCTTGAAAGAGAACATGCTCTGAGATTTTTATGCATAATTCAATAGGAATATGTACTCCATTATTTCCGATTGTGATTTTATTGCCAAACCAATATCATCGCCATAGGTTTGGAAATTTTCTTTTGTTCAGCATTACTTGCAATCAATTATCCCCCAGAAACAATCTCCTTGCGAGTGCAAGGATAAGTAGCCAACTAATTTGTCAAATGCTCACGCAATTATATTTTTTATAAGCTCTATATTTTTTTTACATTTCGGCACATTTGCATATCCCAAATCAGTAAGCCTGGCAATTTTTATAAATACGAAATTTATTTGTGTACAAAATTGTCAAATACAAATCTAAGGGTCACCATACACTTCGGAAAAAATGTTCTGAATTCTCACTCATTTTTCATTTTCATTTACCCTTTGGCCTTTCTTTTTAGTTATAATATCGTTTTTAGGACGGTGAACTCAAAGGCAATCGGAGAGTATACGCCTACATTGATGGGGAATGTTCGGAGTAAGTGGATGGAAAGAACAAGTCTCTAAATATACAAGTAATAATATAAATATTAATATAATAGGCAGGCTGAAAAATGCATATCATTTTTAATAAAAGCACAGTTTTGGCAAAATTTGATTTTCGGTAAAATCATTCAACATATTTATGTCATCTCTATCTTCCAATTTTGCGATTTAGTCTTTGCAGTACGATTGCTGTTTTGCTTGAAAGAGGACAAACTGTACGGCAACCAAATCAGGAGGGTAAACACTTAATTCTGATCGTTCAAATTGTATGACAGCTATATACTTTTGGTACATTCGCTACGTTTTGCACAATTGACCTAATTGACCACTTTTTGTTTCACTATTGATTGACTCAACCAATAATTCATTTATTTATGTATTTTTAGATTGTTACAACTGTAATATAAACAGCTACTTCAGGAAAAGTTCAAGGAAATTTTCGCAATTAAATAGAGTAAGCCCTAGTTACAAAACAAATAAGTTCGGAACAGGTATATCAGCGGATATGAAAGGGTGACGTCACAGGCTGTCGAAGATAAGTTGTTTAGAATGCTTGTACTTTGTAAGATATTATATAAAAGTATTAAGCTATATAACTGTATAACAAAATTTAATGGGTTGCTTGCTTTTGAATTTTGGTGATTTTAAAGTAAGGAAATGTTGAGTTAGGACAACTTTGATGAATATTAATAAACAATAAGTGATGGAAACTCAAAGATTTGAAAAGTGTTCATAGTTTCATTTATACAACGTAACTATATGGGAACATATTATAAAAGAATACTTAGATATCTCCAGAGCTTTTTTAGTAAAAAACAAAAGCGGAAGACTAAATCCAATTTTCATTATACAATATTATCGGATTCGAGTATAAACTGGATTTCATAATTGTTAATTTAACTGTTTCGCTTTGAATTATTTTGTGCACATTACCGTTTGAGTAATTTTGCGCAGTAGTGTATTTCAATACATCATCAGTATTCTGGTAACGATTATGACATTTATGCACGGCGGAATTAATGTAAATGCATTTCGCGCTGCAACTGAAGAATAAGTTAAGAATCCACGCTTTCACACCGCCATGGGCATGTCAGCCTCATGAAATTAAGCACTCAAAAGCACCATCCGATGCATGCTTTCACTTAACAAGATTTAATCAACGGCTGCCTTACTCATTGCAGTTAAGCGGAATATGTTTTTCCGCTCTTATGCCCACATCAGCCGTAAGGCAGCAACTTGAGTTAATAACGGAGCCGTCACCTGCAGAAGTAAGCTGTTGCATCCAATGCTGATGCACCGACATAAATGACAGTACATTCAGGGATATGTATACCAAGCATTCGTCAATTGATACACTACAAGGTGTACATGCTTGAATTTCCATATCAATAAATTGCGATGTTGCCTCAAACGATTCCGTTACGACTTCAAACGGTTCTTCCGCGTCAATAAGTCTAGAGAGCATTACCGCAAAAAGTTCACTGTTGTTGTAGTCATTAGCGAAACGCTCACCTGATTTAATCGGAATACAAGAAGCACCGCCTCATTTTCTACTAGAGAATTGTTACCAAAACTACTTGGTACAAGGAAATGTATATTTTATGATAATTTTATTCAGTACTTGCCAATGTCAGGAACATATCTAGTATTCACAAAAGTGTCTGAAATGAAACCAATCTCGAATTAATTTAAAAACCTTGCATCATCAGTCATTTGTGTAATTTGTACTTTAACTTTTTCATCGCCGCATTAAGTATATTTTTACTTCATGTGAAAAATGTACCAATCAGTTTCTGTAACCAAATAAATACAGACGCGGTTTCTTTCTTTAATTCCTAATGATCCCGTCCCAATCCAGAGTGCAGTGTGTGTGAGTTTTGCCTGCTGCCGACAGTGAACAACATGTCACTATTGGATTTATAACACCAACCAAGTCATTTTAATGGTGAGCCATTGCACATTCTTTTCGTATATGTGCGGCTTTTAGTGACTGTCAACATTGGGCGCTTGTTTTTGTTTTACGACAAAAGTCTCTGATCAACCAGTAGAAAAACAAATAATGAATGCTGGCAACTGTGCTAGATCATTAACTTAAACTTAAGAAAAAATATTGAACTTAAGTTTGTTAATTATAATCTCTCTAATAGACATATTCACGTCAAGGTTGTCGATATTACTTAAATCTAAGCGAAAGAGAATAGATCGTTGTATGACAGGATCTTGCGATAAATTGATATCTGGATATCCACCCGACAGTCTGGCCAAGAAATGGTTTATGTTAAAGTCGCGATATCTTGATGAAGTATAGTGCTAATAAATGATCTCACTTAAGTGCAGTCGGTATTGCATATGGGTGGAATCGTTTTTTTACCACAGCCACAAAACAGTTTTATTCATAAAACCAAAAATTATGAAATAATTTTAAAAACTCAGATTTCGAAGATGGGGACACAGTCTGTATTTTTTTGAAATTGTTGGGTGTAAGTTTTATATCATAAGCTGCTAAAGTTATGGCATTTTGCACATCGGAGAACACATGACATCGCATTTCACTGTTCGCTGATGAAAATATAGCATAAGTATCGGCCATTTTAGACGTTATTTTGGGACTGGCTAAATGAGTTCAGCTTCCCGCCCTAATGCCGTCAACAACACACCACTTACAAGACAACACTGGCACACCACACCTGGAACCATCAGTACACACCACGCACCAAGGCAACCTTGCTGGAAGCAGCAGCATACACCCACACACAGCAGAATAACTCTACACACCAACATGAACAAAAGGAGGGAGGGCGATCGAGCCAAGATTTTTTTTATTCTCGAAAGCGTTAGCAGAGAAGTCGTTTTTTGAAGTTTAACCTTTTTTCCACGGTCATATATCTCGATTGTACTTTAATAAATTATCTTATCCAAGTGAAGTTGTAATTTATGATTCATTGTTAAAAATATTTATATAAATATATTATATTGTAAATTGCGTTAAAATGTTTGCGACAGGAAAAAATTGTGTAATATTTTTAAAATTTTTTACAAATACGTGAGCGTTTAGTGGAACGAAAAGGTGAGAACAAAGTTAAAAAAGTGAACAGGGACCAATTGGATGAAATTTCATGCAACTTTGACTGTTTTCTAATTAGAGTTACAACTCTAAGACAAGAGGTAAGAGATTTTTCACTTGTGACAGAATTTCACCAAGGATCAAAGATTTTTTCGAAACATTTAAAACTAATTCAGATAAATATAGAGTTATGTATTTCAACACGGTTGGCTGTTCATGTCTCGTAGCAATCGATATATCTTGACGAAACTTGAAGGTGGTTATAGCAGGTGACTACATTCGGACCACAGCCAAGTCCACCAAATCGAAAAAAAATCAAAAGTTTGATCAGAGGTCCGCAGCAGAGAAAAAAATTCTGGGTTTTAATAAATATTTGAGGTGGACCCTTTAAAGTTTTGTATATATATCTTGCAAACTTCTAAAATTCTACCAACCTTTCAGGGAACTGCACGAGTGAAAATTGTAATGCGGAACAGTTCTGCATGAATGTAATAGTATTCCTGATTGTAATAAAGAGAAAAATTTATTTAGAAATTTATTTATAGTAGCATAATTGTACCTATATTGCTAAAATGTTTATATACATTGAGAGTGGCAAGCTTTAACATTACGTAATATTGTTAAGATTAAGCAAAAAAAACTGCTTTTATATGAGATCTTTATTCTCACATATATAATAAATAATTTATATTATTGAAACATCCAACGGTTAATTGTGTATTGAAATAAAAAAATACCTAAATTTATTATTGTGTTTAATATTGGGTTAAATTTAGTCATTTACGATTTCAAGGTTTGTATCAGCAAAAAACGCACTCGACTTGTTTGTAAGTTAAGGAAAGTACATCGGATAATAATGATTAAATTGTATTTTCATACTTTGGCAACATGTTGCTACACTGAATTCACTCGCAACATTTTTTACTGTTGCAACATGTTGCTAGCTTTGTTCATATGTTATAGATGTGACATGTTAATATAATAGTATGTGATATTGTCAAAAATTAGATTAAATAAAATACAACCTTTGGACCCCATATACCTTATATGCAATTAACAAACTTCCAGTAGGCCTTATACCATATATACGAATTACCCTCACTCCCATATACAACATATAATGATTTTCGTTTTTCTAACAAGCCGTTGACGAATATTTCGATCATTGTGTAAGTTATATATTCAAAAAATTGCTTGAAAATGTTCTCAAGTATACTTGACAAATGTCCAAATTAGTGCAATGTCCTTTTCTCAACACCCAATATAGCATATTGACTTTAAACCGTAAAGCTTGGTCAAAATAAAATTTAATTGACAAGTTTCCTTGAAAATTATGTGGTTTACCGTTTAATTTTCGCTGACAGGAAGTAAAATCTAGTAATAAAACTAAGTTAGTCCAAAACCTTTATTATATGTTAATAAGTTTCCAAATTTGATTATTATTCATAGCTTTTCTTTACTTGTAATAATTATTTTATGCTTATACTTACCATTATTAAAGAAAAATAATATGAAATCATAATAAGTGCATATGGTAGAAGGTGTGGAAACAAAGCACGCCCTCTTTATGAATTCACATAGAAATTGGACCAAATATACACAGTACCCAATAGCATATAAAATATTTATGAATTTTAATATATAAATTAGGAAATAAGAACGAAATTTTATTTGTTCATGAAAAGCATATCGTTGATTTATCTTTTTTGTACGATTTTAGGACTAAATAAGAATTTTAATTTTCATTACAAAATTTTTACGACTAAAGTTCAATTGATTATAAATTTTACAACTGAGAAAGATATTGATTAAGAGTGTCGGCTGATAAACAATAGTTCAAATTGGTTCATATTAAAGAGTATATACAATAGTATGTGGCTTTTAAAGAAATAAAATAACAACAAATAGTCCGGCCAATTTACACATTCAAAGTTACAAAAATCCATAAAAAGCTAAAACTCTGCAAAATTGATCAAAACATAATTATAAAAGAAATCTCAAAAGTCCTCATCATTGGGTCTGTGCCAAAAAATCGGCACGAGGCCAAAGGTCAAAACAATGAGGTTTTTGCGATTTTCAGCAAAACCGTGAGTTTTTTCGCAAAATTACCTAAGAACAAAATTGTAGATAATTTGTAATCCCCATATATTGCACACGTTTCCACGCCACCTATGAGGTAGTGTACTTAGCGCGGTTTTTTTAATGTGGTTTCCCCGGTAGGCCTATTCCATTCCATTTTGTTTAAAACTATTGCAAAATAATATCATGCATAAGGTTGGTAAAAATGAAGGCGGTGTGATAAAAAAGAAAACGTTAAATTCATTCGTCGGATTCATAGTTTTCAAATCTTTCTGCTTTCTCTCCTCTCGTCTTTTCTTGTTGTTCTCTTCTATTTTACTTTGGGTGCAAGTAAATTGCCCCAAGCCATTCCTCATCGGTATCATAGGAGTCCTCAACAGTTGGTGACTCAACATTCGAGCACGACCGGCTTTGACAATGTGTGTATGGCAGGGATCAAAGAGTTCAACTTTTTGCAGTTGCAAAATATCGTGTTAAGAAGTTATCTCCAAATAAAACAATATTCTGATATTTTGTTATAAAATTAAAAACTGCACGAAATGGGTTAAAAAAGTTGTTTTGGAGTGGCGCACAAGACTAACGGCA